GCTGTAACAAAGAGAGTGAAATGGGAGATTTAAGGTGGGTATGAAAAGATTGGTTTGAAGATCTGTGTTGGAGTCTGGGTGAAAGGTCCTAGTTTGTCATGCCTTTGAGATATCTAGATGGTGAGTCAAGAAGCAACTTGGTATAGGAGTCTGGAGCTGCATGGGGAGTTCTGAGCCTGAGTTTGGAGTTGAGCAGTCATCGGTAAAGAAATGGCCCTGAGGAGGCCATGCATGGATGGGCCCTGTGGAGACCATATACCAAAAGGCAATTCACAAAGAGCTCTACAGAGAGGTGAGAGGCAGAGCAGGAAGGCAAGGACAAAAGGCACCAAGAGGGTGTTGCAAAGGAAAGGGGAGTAGTCAGTTGTGTCTAATGTTCCTGAGAAGTTGAGAGGAGAAGTGAGAGGGGTCGGTAGTTGTCAGCAACATGGAAGTTCTTGGTGACCCTGGCACATGAGGTCACAGCCAACATAGGGCAGTCACTTTTATTGTTTTAAAAGATTAGGAAATGTGGATGCATGGTTGTTTTGCTAATTAAGGACTGATCATGTACAACTTGGGTTGGGAAGATTGAGTCTGTTTGTCAGGTTAATTTCTTTAAAAAAAAAAAGTACTCCTATTGTTCTGTGGTCACAGTGAACTTCACTGAGATTCAGAATGGGAATAGCATCCCTAATTGGGCAGCTCCTCAGGCCCGGGGGACCACCCACTTAGGAGAATTCCTCAGCAAAGCACTATTCTAGTGACACCATCTTATTTTGCATTGCCGTGTGCTATTTTATCCCCTGGGGACATGGAGCAAGGGCAGTTCCTGACTTCCAACGAGCTCACTTTCTAGTGCAGTGGGCAACCATGCCACTGGGATGCTTAGAGCACCATAGGTGGGTGGGTGACCCAGCCTGCAGAAGACCTATTGGTGTCCATAAATCACTCAGGTCCAGTGAACTTGGGGAGAGGACTGGACCATTTCTGGAGCAGGAAATAGCATGTTCTAGACTGGAAGCCCGGCTGGGAGTGGGGATTCCAGAGTCAATGTGTGGGAGATCGTTCTTCTCCTCCTTTAGCACCATGACCTGCAGAAAGCTATAGAATTTCCCCCAAATCATAGGTTCCTCATTTGTCCGAGGTGAGTGAACGTTGGCTATGTGTCATCATACAGGGCGCGGTGTGATCAAATAAGATAATCCACTTACTTCACAGGACGCCAAGTGTGATAAACACTATAGATAGGCATGCATGTTATTAGAGTCAAGAGTGTGAGAGGAGGGAGGAAGTTTGCACAAACTTAATTTCACCTCTACATTTTACTGCAAGGGAAGCTCAGTTCTCAATAGCGTTAACCAAGACGGTTGGTTCTTGAAAGAGCTGGCCCTAGGGTGTGCATCTGCTCTGTCCCTGTGCCATCAGATGCTAGAGCTGCTACCCGACTTCAGATCCCTGCTCTGCCACTCACAGTCCCTTGTGAAACTAAAGAAAAGAATAAGTCTGTTGAGTCTTTGGTTTCCCCACCCTGAATGAGGCAGGAAGCTTCTGTGACAGGTTGTCATAGGGATTAAATGAGATGAAGAGCTGGGAGGACCAATGCAAGAATCCCAGCACTGGGCAGTTTCGCATTGACCCTTCTCTGAACTTCCCCTTTGTTTGTTTGAGACTTTATCTCAAAAGAAAGCATTGCCTGGGTGCTAGGCCACAGGTAGACTCCTAGTACTATGGAGAGGGCAGCGTCAAGTTTCCCTGACCTGGATTTTTGGTCTTGGAGAGTTTTCCTAACTCAGCAGGTGCAAATCTATAGTCACAGAGGGAGCTGTGGGGGAATGCAATGAAAGCGTGTGACAGACGCTTGAGACATCACCTCTGGCTCCCAAGGTATAGGTTACCAGGAGTCTTGAATCAGGCATGAAATAAGGATTAGAGATATCTTAACATCAGGCCAAATGCCTGTCCTGCACTGGCAATCATAAATATCCCACTCAAGGCCTGTATTACTATTATTATCACTATTGTTATTATTTCTCTGAACAGTGGGAAGTACAAGATTTGAGTTGGAGTTACTTCTCTGGCCCTTCGGAGGAGACATGAAGGGTAGAGATGAAGGATGACAGAAAGGGGCTGGTGAAAGGGAGGGAGGTCGGGGAGCTGTTTTAGAAGCAGGAGGAGTGTGATCCGCTTGGATGTGGAATGCAACAGGGTTCTGGGTCTGAATGGTCAATAGCGCAATATTTGCACATGACTTTGCACATTCTCGTGGATACTTTAAAAAAAATTGCAAATGGCTTATAAAACTGACTCCAGTGGCAAGCAATTGTTGTACTGTATTGTTGGGGGAAGAGCACCAGCGCACACAGGTCCAGTACAGACACAACTTTTGTTGTGGATATTTTCCACTTGAGGTTGGTTGACTATGCCCACGTGGAACCTGTGGAGATGAAGGACTAGCTGTACATCTCCAACTCAGGACACCTCTGAACTGCCATCTTAACTTCGAAGCTCTCCGGCGGGCTGCCTGAGCTCTTTTGCATAAAAAGCTGAGCTCTTTATGCAGTTTAATAGTATCAGCAGTGATACGAAAGTAAAGTTATTTGAAGCATGAGCCCTTGGCTTGTGGAGTGGGACAGATGGTGGAGAAGAGAAATCATGGGCCGGAAGGAGCTTCAGGAGGGCAGAGGGTCTGGAGCAGAGCCAGAGAATTTCAGACCCTGTCGTGTGATGAACCGTTGAAGGAACTGAAAATACTTAAGGAAGAAGTAATGGCATGATGAACATGGGACTTCAGTTTTGACAGGCAACCACACAGAAGGGGGATCAAATGTATTCGGGTGGGTCTCTTGCTTCTTTCATGCTTGATCCTATATAGTCCTTCCTTATACTGTTTAGATCAAGGTATGCCAGTATGCAGGTTACACCTCCCCATCCATGTCTTATCATCATACTATAAATAGAACACGCATGTCTTGCTTTGCCAATCTACCTCCCATGGCTCATCTCTTAACCCCTCTTCTGGCTATCCTGAGCTCACGATAGCCAAGCGTTCTGACTGTTCTTTGACTGCACCAGCCCATTCAACCTCGAGGCTTTTACATCTGCCCTGCAATCTTTGCGTGTTCTTCCGTAAGATCTTGGCTTGCCCCTTTCTTTGTGATCGGTCAGTCTAGAATCAATGTCTATTTCCTAAGAACGGTCCATCCATCCACGATCAGTTTCTATGTTATTATTCTTCCACGGCCCTCTTTGCTTCCTGAAATGATTTTGTATTTCTGTGATGTTGTTTTCAGCATCCCTCAATAAAGAATATAAGCCTCAAATGGACAGACATGTGTGTCCAGTGTGTGGTATGGTGTTGCCTTACAGCAGGTGCTCAGTAAGTAGCTAGCTGTTGAGTAAAAGAATGAATGAGTTCAGGCCTACAAAAGTAGTTCTAGAGCCGATATGTGGATAGTGAAGACAGCAAATTTTCAAAGCTCCCACAGGATGATTCACAGTACACCTGTGCTTGCGTGTATGCCACAGAACTATGGCTGTCACTTATTAAGGAACCAACAGATCGGTGGGAAGTGGGGGTTTGGTATGAAATAGACAAGGATTGGAAGCTTGGCTCTGCCACTCTGTAGCTGACTACAGGCCCTGAGTAAATTCTGTGGGTTTTTCCCCCAGAGTCTCTATTCCTTCATCTGAAAAGACAAGGGTTTCGGGTTTGATTAAAAGCCATTCCTGGGATATAGGCCAACTCAAGGTTGCACCTGACTTCGGAAGGTTGGCAAACACTGGACTTCTCACCAGAGGGTAGCTCTGCAGCTGACAGTTTCCTTTATCTGCCTGAAGCCCCCTTACCTACAGGAGCCCAGCATCCACCTAACGAAGACCACTGCCACAGTCCATTTTTAAAAATCATGCCTATTAGGTATTTATTCCTTTTTATGTGGCTCTCCCACAGGGAAAAGCAAGCGACAGGGTCCAGCTTTTGGAGTGGGTGGTGGGCGAGTGATCATCTAGATGGTTGTCTCACAACTTCCTGCCTCTGCTTCACATGCAGCTGACCTCCTGAGTGGGACCCCTGTCTGTCTCTTGACAGGGATTAGAGCCATGGTCCCCTTGGGAAAATGTCTCCCTGCAGCTTGGACCTTATGTCCCCTGGGAGGTGCAGCAGGCACTTCAGACTTAGCAGCTCCCATCACGAGCTTCTCAACATGCACCTGCCCCCAGGATACCCCTGACTCCCTTTTTCCCATCGCATTTGAGGGCCAACTCCCTCCACTTCTGGTTTCTCAGGGCTCAAATCTTAGATTCATCTCAAACGCTTCTGTCTCTCCTCTATTGACAAATTCCTTCTGCTGTACCTTCCTAATAACGCCTAGATTCTGACAGGTTCCTACCCCACCCCCACCTGCCACCCTGCCTCACCTCTCTATGGAGGAAACCTCACAGAGCATCTATCTTCGTTTTTCAGTGTTATCACCTCTTTTTTAAAAAAAAGTTATTGATTTATTTGAAAAGCACAGAAAATTACATCTGTTAGTTATGGGCTCTGTCTCCAGCCCATAACAAGTGTGGCACAGAGCAGGTGCACAGTAACTGCTGTCCCGGATTGGGTGTTTAAAGGCACAATGTGGGCTGCGGAGCCTTCTAGCTTCCTACCCAAAACAGGGTGGATAAGAGGCGCGGGATGGCCAAGGGGGGAATGAGGGCGAGAGCAGCGGCGATGGGGGAGGGCACCAGAGCCGAAATCAGGCTGTGCAACAAGTGACTTCACCCTTACAAACTTTCATTTCTTGTTTCTTGGAGGGTTGGGATACAGACATAATCGCCCGCTTGGCAGCTTCGGCCCGGGGACAGAAGGGAATTCCCGCTCCACAATGTTGTCCTCGGCGAGGTGGAGACGCAGAGCGGGGGTGGAATACGGGAGGGCACAGGAAGACCTGGGCAGGTGCGGGAGGAGGCGGTGGAGGGCGGAGGCGTTCCCGGGGGCGGGAGGCGGGACCTGGTGCCCAAAGACTTTCCCCGGACGTAACTCGGCGGGGTCCCAGCCTGAGACGCTGCCCGCACTGCGGAGCTGAGCAACCGCTTTCCTGTGCCTGCTTCTGGCTGTGTCTCGCCGCCTGCACCTGCCGTCTAGTGTGCAACAGCCTGGCCTCAGCATGGCGGACCAGACGCCCTTCGACACGAATATCAGCACCCTGACCCGCTTCGTCATGGAGGAGGGCAGGAAGGCCGGTGGCACGGGCGAGATGACCCAGTTGCTTAACTCGCTGTGCACCGCCGTCAAAGCCATCTCCTCCGCTGTGCGCAAGGCGGGCATCGCGCACCTGTGAGTTGGGCCTGGGGTGAGGGCTGTTTCTTCCAGTCTCTCCTATCACCCCGGGGCATCTGGCCTGGCAGCCCAATGTTAGTTAGGACTCAGTGGCCCTCCGCCTGCCAGACGGACACTCTGACATCGGAATCTCTGAGGCTGGTAGCCCTTTACTGGGGGAATCTTGTCCTGTCGCCCCCAAGCGCCTCACTCTCCTTCTCCTTGAGCTTGAAGGGACTTCTTGCAGAATCTGTGCAACAGGTGCACCCCTGTCCACCATCCTGGCACACTTGCCTCATACCCCTGGCTCAGGTGCCTCCCATTCCCTTTCGAACTGGGGTTCCAGGTTTGGTTTCTGATCTGTGAGCTCCCTGACCCCTAAGCCAGTGTTATCTGGAGCTGCGATGATTGTGTGCCAAGAGTTCCGGGAGGCTTCCCATTTCTAGTGGCGGCGGGGGTGGGGGGTGGGAAATGGGTCTTGTGCTGTCCCAGAAATATAGAAGCTGCTCCTCCAGCTTCAAAACTTTCACAGTGTGTGCCTCTTGTCCAATGAGTGAGTGACTTAAAACACTTGATGAGTAGAGCCAATTAGAGCGTATCCTCAACTCCCAGCCAGATGTGCCTGGGTTGCTTGCTAAGACGCACACGTGCTCAGGTACATCTGGCCTGCAGCCTAAGACTCTGAATGTCCCAGAAAGTGTCTTCGAGGTCACAGGGGACTGTAACGGCAGCTGCCTGTGAGCTGCACGACAGCCCTCTGGCTCATCTTGGTGTGCACCGTGTTCCGTGTTGATCCACACTCATCCGCACTAAAGGGATACCTGGCTTTTCAGATTGCCCACTACACCTTCAGAACAGGTGTCACACACATGAACACTCCCCCCAATGAAGTGTGATGCTCACAGCTGACCTGACAAAAGATAATCCTGCTTCTTTGCAGCCAGTCTCATGTTTCTAAAACTCTTCCTGCCCGCCGGTGAGCTGTTAGGGTAGATTCCCCAGAATTCTTAGGAAAGCAGCGTAAAATCACATTTGGTTTTAGACATCAGTCATGGGTGGGCCTTGCCAGCAGAGGGTTAGGGGAAGGGATGATCTGTTAGCTTATCAGCCTTGCCCTTCTTACCGACAGATCTCCAAGGATTCTTTGCATTAGAAAACAGGCTCGGATAAAATCCTACTTCAGATGTGATCGACAATGAGTTTTGCTGACCTCACAGCTTTAATTGTGTGTCCTTAAGGACAAGGAACTTTATAGAAAAAGACATCTACTATTTCTTATATGACAAGCTTTAAAGTATGTCAGTACCTTTCATGATTCCAGAGATTCTGAGTGCAAGGTTGGGCAGTGGGACCTGGACAAAGGATACTAATTTTGATTCCATAAAATGCAAGTCAGTTTTTTTTTAAAGTTATTTTTATTTGAAAAGCAAGTTTAAGGAGAGAAGGAGGGACATACACAGAGAGACCTCTTTTATCTGCTGGTTCAGTTCTCAAATGGCCACAAAAGCTAGAACTGGGCTGATCTGAAGCCAGGAGCCAGGGGCGTCTTCCAGGTTTCCCACATGGGTGCAGGGGCCCAAGGAGTTGGGCAATCTTCTGCTGCTTTCCTGGATCATAAGCAGGGAGCTGTAACTGGAAGTGGGGCAGCCTGGACACATACGGTACCTACATGGAATGTGACACCATAGGTGGAGGATTAACCTGCTATGCCAGGGTACTGGCCTCAAAATGCAAGTGCTTTAATCCAAATAGCTGATAACGTTGGATTTTATTTTCTTAAATACTATTGCTGTTCTACTGTTTTTAATGATTTAGTAAGTTGTAGTCATTGACAACAGTTCGAAGCACTCACAAGGCTGCCCATCCATCTCCTGGGATACTCACTGTCGGTACTTTGCCTATTTCTCTAGACACTTCTTCATATACATTTATCCAGGAACAAATATTTGTACACAATATTTTGTACACAACCAACAAAATGGGATCAGACCCAGGATGCTTTTCTGTGGCTTGTTTTATCACTCAGTGCTATGTGAAAAAAAAAAGATATAATATTGGGATACATCCATCTCCCTCCTTTGTAACTGTTGCCTGCTATTCCACTGTACTCATGTAAGTTACTGGTTGAACTCTTCCCTCCCTTATGGCCTGTTACAGAATGGTGTGTCATTGGCTTTTGTGGTTACTTTGGTTGTGTTGATGGACCTCTGAATCCTGTGTTTTTTTTAAAGATTTATTTTTATTATTTTTTTATTGGAAAGGCAGATATTCAGAGAGGAGAGACAGAGAGGAAGATCTTTTGTCCGATGATTCACTCCCCAAGTGAGCGCAACGGCTGATACTATGCCGATACGAAGCCAGGAGCCTCTTCTGGGTCTCCCACGCGGGTGCAGGGTCCCAAAGCTTTGGGCCGTCCTCGACTGCTTTCCCAGGCCACAGGCAGGGAGCTGGAGGGGAAGCGGGGCTGCCGGGATAGAACCAGCGCCCATATGGGATCCCAGGCGTGCAAGGCGAGGACCTTAACCACTTGCGCCACTGCGCCGGGCCCCTCTGAATCCTTTTGTGGGAAAATTAGAGCTTGGCTGTTCTTGGTTTGACAAGTAGGCAGGCAGGCAGCAGGAAGATAAAGTCTCAAGCCAGACCTCCAGGAACATTTGTTATAGGCCCTGATATCTGTATTCTATAGGGAAGATAAGACATAGCAAAAGAGACTGTGAGTGCTCAAGGCCAGGAGGTGGCTGTGGGGAGGTCATCTCACCATCAGGGAAATAGTGGACAGCCTTGCTCTAGTTCACTCTCTCCTAAAAGTTGCTATTGTCATCACATTCACAGGCCCGCATGTCATCATCCATTCACTGGTCATGAACTCTTTCCATTCTAAATGGAGGCAGGCTGAGCATTGGCCTTCTCCAGTCCATTCCTGGTCCAGATGATGATCTTGAGACCCAAGGACAATGAGGTGACTTCTCCTATAGCCCAAGTTTCTGGGTCTTCAGTTTCAGGCTTTCCCCTCTTATACACACACATTTCTTCTTCTTTTTAAAGAAATCAATGGAAACTCATCAGATATCATCCACCAAGTGTATGTTTAGTGAATATTAAGAATTACATCCCAAGGAGCTATGGGCACGCCACAAACGTGCCCTGGAAATCTCTGTGTGCCCCTTCATCCACCCTACCCTTAGCCGAAAAGGCCACAGCGATATCATGGAAACGGTGAATGGTCAGATAGCTGAATTGCTGAATCGATGGTTCAAGTGCCAAGCTCAAGGGTAGCCCCACCTCTTGGCTTTCATTCCTCAGAGAGAAGTGGTTCTGCAGTGACTGACACTCTTTGGCTGCAGGGATATGAAGTGGACTTCCCGAGACACACATTTCCAAGTCCCCAGCTGAAGAATCCACACTTCCCATTCAGTTTCATGAGATGACATGGTGCATAAACAGCATACAAACTTTTAAATGGGATTGAGAAATGAGGATAGCACATAGCTTACTCTATAGGGAAAATAAGACACACGGAAGGTTAGTTATCAAATACAACAGAAGTTCTGAAAGGTACTTTGGCGTGATGCCAGACATATGAGTCAGATGCAAAGAATCGTGGGCATCCTAACAGGTAGGCATTTGTGATAGACTGTTAGGGGTCAGGGCTGTCACTGTAGAGTGGTTCAGATCAAGTGGTCATGTGAGGAGAGGTCTCAGGCTGAGAAAAGTGTTTCAGGAAAAGTTGTACATTGAGTTTGTTCAAGACATGGAAGACATGTTACGGGTATGAAACTGCAGGGTGCATTGAGAGGGCATCCAAAGATGAAGCTTCTTGCACCATGCTTTTGTGCAATGGCATGATCACATGTTAATATAGGGAAGGAATAACTACAGACAGAGTTGGTAGAGGAAAAACTGGACATGGGCAAAAGCAGGAGCAAAGGGCAAAGGTAAGCAGCAGTCCAGGAGGGCGGTGGGAGGAAACGCTGGGAGAAGTCAGAGTGAGGGCTGGATGAGAAGGGCAGCCAGCAAGGGTCTCAGAGAGCTGGGCAGCTGAGAACAGGGCTGCATCTAACATAGCTGTCAAAGAAAACAAAGCAACCATCCCTCCCCAAACCAGAATCCCAAGGAGGAGCTGCTATTTCACTGCTGGGCAGGCATGAGAAAATGTCCACAATCATGTGGACACATTACACTTGAGGCGCCAGGGGCTGTACTCATGTGGCTTCTGAGCATGAGGCACAGACTAAATAATTAGCCATTGGATCATGGCATGTTTGGCTCAAGGCAAAGAGGAAGGCAAAGAGAAAACTTGGGACCTGAATGACCATAGTAAGGATATGCGGGGAATAAAAACACATCTTGGAAAGGGATGGAGCTTGACCCAAATTCTTGGCTCTGTCATTGAATTTTTGTAAAACTTGACGGAGGCAATACAACCAGGATCCTAGAGCCTCAGTTTGCCCACTTACAAGATGAGGATAGGGGTTGGTGCAACGACTCACTTGCCTAGTCTTGTCTGCAAGCACCAGGATCCCATATGGATGCTGGTTTACGTCTCAGCTGCTCCACTTCCCATCCAGCTCCTTGTTTATGGCCTAGGAAAGCAACAGCAGAAGGACCAGTAGAGGTTCCTGGTTTCTGACCTGGGATTGGATTGACTCATCTTCAATGTTGTAGCCATCTGGGGAGTGAATCGGCCAATGGGACATCTGTTTCTAGGTCTACTTATCTCTGTAAAGATCTGCTTTTTCAAAAATCATCATCATCATCATGAAAAGATGAAGACAATTGGCTTTTCAACCTGGGAACATTCAGAATGAGGCGAGCTTTCTAATTGGGCAGTATCACTCTTGATTTTCCTTCTTTCCTTCTTCCTTTATTCCATTCTGCTTCTCCTCCTTCTTCTTTCTGTAAACTCTTAGATCTCTATTTTCCCTTTCATTCTTCAGCAGCAGCACACTTGCTTACCAGCACTGCATATGTTCCAGACTAGAAATCCCACGTAAATGCCAGGCTGCACCTCCAGCTGGGTTACAGGAACATCCTTGCATCAAGTTCACATTGTGTCCACAAAAGTTACTTTTCTACAGGGGATCCTCTGCAGCTTTGATCTCGGAATGGCAGCTCAGCAAGTACCTGTTTAGACTTATGTTCAAATGCACAGGGCTTATGATATTAAAGTTTGGACATTTTATCTGATTTATTTTTGAATTGTCTTCCCCCACGGGACCAGAGAGTGAATTATAACTTTCATTTTTATGGAAGCAGAGTAGCAACCATGCGGGGTGCCATCTGCCCATGTCCAGCCCACGTGAACACAAGCCCGGGTTGCGTCTGTGACCTTTGGAATCACTCTGATTGGTGCCTCTTGAACACAAGGGTTAGTTTCTGCACTAACTCTTGGCTGTTCCTGGTGGGTGGGTAGTTGGACATTTACTGCCACAGAATCAATCAGTAACAAACAAGTTGGTGTTACCTTTGACTTTGATGATAAGGGTGGCATGCTAGTCCAGCTCCCTTCTCCCTGAGTCTGATGTTCTAGAAATCAGCTTGGATGTGTTGTATGCTGTCCCCAAGCGGCTGCTTATTTTCCATCAGGCTGGCATCAAAAGGAAATGGTCCCAAGTCAATTAAACTTTCTCTCTCTCTCTTCTCTCTCTCTCTCTCTCTCTCTCTCTCAAAGGTCTGTTTATTTTTTATTGCAAAAGCAGATTTACAGAGAGATGGGAAATAGAGAAAGAAAGAAGGATTTTCTCCATCTGCTGGTTCACTCCCCAGATGGCTGCAATGGCTGGAGCTGAACTGGCCCAAAGCCAGGAGCCTGAAGCTTCTTTCTAGTCTCCCCATGGGTGACAGGGGTCCGAGGACTTCAACCATCTTCTGCTGCCTTCCCCAGCAACAGTTGTGTCCCCACATCATCAGGAGTTGGGTCAGAAGTGGAGTAGCTGGTATTCAAATCAGCGCTAATATGTGATGTGGGCATTGCAAGTGGGAGGTTAGCCTGCTGCACCATGGTGCCAGCCCCATGGAAGCCTTGCTTTCAACTGAAACAGATCTGTGTGTTAAGTACAATGTGCTTCATGGCTGTGAGATGGCTTATTCCATTGGGGAAACTATATGTACTCTTGAAAAGCAATGCTCACATGTAATCCACAGTTCAAAAGCCTTCGAAATATTGGTCAAATGAACCTGTGCTTTAAGGAACTCTCTATCCTATCTCTAAAATGATGTACAGCTTTTTACAAATTCTCAGAAAGATCTTCCAGTGGAACAAAAGAGATATTATAGATAGCATCTCAAGTTCCATGTTGCTCCCCCAACTCCAGAAGGAGATCTTTCGCATCTCTGGGAGACTTAGCTGGGGAGAGTGAAGTTGGGCTGCAGGGCCAATTCATGTGAATACAACTGAAGGCATGCCAAGTGAAATAAGATCTCCAGAGATTTTGTCAAATGCAAACTCAGCACACGTCTGTGGAGATCTGTAAGGAACAGTGATGCCTACCCTTGGAGATGGGGTGGGATGCTGCCACAAGCCCGGTGCATCACACGTATGATCCATCTTAGCACCTGGCTAGAATCAGCCCATCCATTAGGAGGAACACCATGGGGAATAATGAAAAAAGACGAAGGGTGGGCGCTCAACACAGCTGTGAAGATGCCACTTGACGACAGCAGTCTCTTTCAGAGTGCCTGGGTTCAAGTACTGGCCCTGCACTCACCTCCAGCTTCCTGCAAATGCACACCTGGGAGGCAGCAAAGAAGGTCCAATCCCCCGCATGGGAGGCTCATATTGAGTTCTCAGTTGGGCCCAGCTGTGGTGGGCATTTAGAAAGTGAAACAGCATATGGGCTGTCTCCACCAGTCACTGTTTCTGGTCTCATGTTTGAATAGATAAATCATTTTTAGAAATACTGACATGTGGTTGCATAGTAAGCTAAGCCTCTATATATGGTGTCAGTAACCCATATGAGTGGCTAATTCAAGTCCCCACTTATGGCCTGGATGAGTGGTGGAAGATGGTTCAAGGCCTTGGCTCCCTGCACCCAACGTGGGAGACCTAGAAGCTTCTGTCTGGCTCCTGGCTTCGGATTGGCCATTGCAGGTGTTTGGGGAATGACCAGTTGGAACATCTCTTCTCTTCTCTTCTTCTCTCCTCGCCGCTTTATAAATCTAGCTATCAAATACGGATAAGTAAATCACGGCTCACCTTTTGTGGCTCTGCTTGCCCCTAGCTACGGCATTGCTGGCTCTACCAACGTGACCGGGGACCAGGTGAAGAAGCTGGACGTCCTCTCCAATGACCTGGTGATGAACATGCTCAAGTCATCCTTCGCCACTTGTGTCCTTGTGTCTGAAGAGGATAAGAACGCCATCATCGTGGAGCCGGAGAAGAGGGTAGGTGAGAGCAGCCATGTGTGAGGTCTCCATGGAACCATTTTCTTTTCCTTCCCAGTAGTGTGCATGCAGTTGCTTGCTTAGCCAAGCTGACGTCTAGGGATCTTGTCGAATCCCTCCTGCTCACTCCCGTACCTCAGCTGTTTGCTCCCCTTGCCACTGTCCATGTGGCCCACCGTGGTTTGTACCCTTGTCATCTCTCCAACTTCTAATTTTCAGAAGTTCCTGATCAAAGTTCTTCCAAGTCTGGCTTCTGCTGACCACCTCATTGGCTGATTCTCTGCCCACCAAGTCCCCACTTTCACACCTGCCTGATCCTGCTGCCTGGCTAACCTGCCCACAGTTCTCATCACTGCCTCCTGAGAGGGAGGCTGTTGGACTCCCTGATGGTCTGCTGGATTCTGGAAGACAGAGGATAATCCCTTCTGTATCCCAGGGTCTGTCACAACAATTGGCACCATGGAGGGATAGGAGGTCTATGGCAAATGGTTGTAGAAGGGAGCTGGCGTGGTGCCATAGTTAGTAAGGCTGATACATGGGGTGCCAGTATCCTGTATGGAATCCAGGCTGCTCCACTTCCAGTCCAGCACCCTGCTAATGTGCCTGAGGAAGCAGTAGAGGATGGCCCAAGTGTCTGGGTCCCTGCTCCCCATGTGAGAGACACAGGTAATGCTCCTGGGTCTAGCTTTGGGCTGGCCCCTCACTGAGCAGTACGGCCATCTAGAGAATAAGCCAGTGAAATAAAATCTCTCCCTCTCTTCCTCTCTCTCTCTCTCTTTCTCTCTCTCTGCCCCCTCCGTAACTCTCTCTCTCTCTCTCTGTGTCTCCCTGTGACTCAGAATTTCAAACAAACAAATCTTTTAAAGAAATGATTGCAGAGACAGATTGTCAAATGGAAGAGCATATCCAGGTTTTATGCAACACCAATTGTAATGAAAAAATTCTTTGAGATTAGAAGTGTGGTTATATGGATTCATTATAGAACCGGGTGAATTGCGAGCATGAGGAATAGAATCAGAAAAAACATAAGATGGGAAGCACATGGGATTAACTTATTTTGTGTCAGTCCTGAAACAGTTCTGCAAGCCTGACTACGTGTTCACGCAGCCCCTTGCTGGGCCTTCCAAAGCCTTGGACAGTAGCCAGTGTGTGGACTGAGTTTGCTGTTGGATGAGTCTCTGTTGTCCCAGTTTCCTCCTGTGTCCACACAGGTGTTTTTTTGAAGAGCAAACAGTCAGCAAATCATCTGAATTTGGCAGAGAACATTGAAAACTACATCTCAAAGAAAGAAATTCCTGTTCTAAACTGGTTCTCAGTTCCCTGCCCCACCCCAACAGAAAATATCACAGAATACTCTCACATTACTAATGTAGTCGAATCTTAAAACACTTTTGTTAGAAAGCGAGTGTTTCTGCTGGCTCATTGCCCAGATGCCTGCGGTGGCTCAGGCTGGGCTGGGCAGGAGCCAGCAACCAGGAACTCAACCCAGGTCTCCTGCATGACTGGCGGGGCCTGATTGCTTGAGGCATCTCCTGGTCTCCTCTGCTTTGCATTGCCAAGGAGCTGGAGTCAGGAGCCAGAGGCAGGAATGGAACCCAGGTACCCTAAGTTAGGATGAAGGCATTTAGCCTCTGGACTAAATGTCTGCTCCCCACGCTTGTTTTAGATTACTGACCCGACGACATGTTTCAGCTCCGGCATACAAGGACATACCACTCACGAGCCTGTTGTTGCCATAGCAGTGGATTATTGCCCTTGCTAATTAAATCCTGGAATGAGACATTTCTTACAGATCTGACTTCTAGGAAAGCCTTCATCCAGAGAACCGTTGTGTTACTTTCCCCTTAAAAAAAAAAATGCAGTGAAATCAGTGACTCATCTTATTTCCCCTTTTCTTTGGCTGCCAGGACTCTCAAGCCAAAATTATGATTCAAGTATATCAACAAAATAGAAAATTACGATTCATTTATCTATAACCCAGGATGTTCATCTGCATCTCTATTCTCACAGCTCGTTTCTCTTCCCAATCATCTTTTGGTACCTATGTATGTGTATAAATGAGAGTAGTTCAAGAAATTAGCGGAAAATAAAATTAAAAAGCAGGTTTATTTGATCCAAAAATTTTCTGAGATCCATGTATATGAGGGACATTTTAAAAATTCATGAAAATGTACATTATGGTAAAATTATTATGGATTTCCATTTTTTTGGTGTTAAAATAAACTTATCTGTTAATCCCATTGTCCACAATTCTTTAAACTATTCTTATCTGGATATTTCTGTATCCATCTCATCTTGTATGCTACTTTGTATCTTTCACTAAAGAGTATAAATTAATGAGACACACATTTCTTGAACTTTCCTTCACATTTCCATTCTTACCACTGTGTCTACTCTCTTGTTACATTGTAACGGGCAGGGGAGGGTCTTAAAAATTCATGGAAAATGCACATTTGAAAAAAATTATGCATGGATTTCAAAATTTTTGTACCCAAATTAATTCATTCTATTTTTTTTAAAAAATAAAAGAGGTATTTGCTTGTTTGAAAGGCAGAATAGACAGAGAGAGAGAAGGGGTTGAGGGGAGAGAACTTTCATCCTCAGGTTCACTCCCCAAGTGGCCAGCAGCAACCACGCTGGACCAGGCTGAAGCCAGGAGTCAGGAGCTCCAAATTTCTCTTGTGGGTGGAAGGGACCCAGGTGCTTGGATTGTCATCCGTGGCTTTGTCAGGTGCATTAGCAGCGAGCTGGATTGGGACTCTGATACGGAACGTGGCTGTCTCAAGGCGCACCTTTACGGACTCCCCCACAGCACTCACTCCTTTTAAATCCACTTCCCAGGCATTTTTTTTTTTGAAGCATCCTTGTCTACAAGGAACCTAGTGTGTATGTTCACGGTTGCCGCGGCGTTTTAAAGCTGAGCTTCTTTTTTCTTTGCTCAGGGTAAATACGTGGTCTGCTTTGATCCCCTGGATGGATCATCCAACATTGATTGCCTTGTATCGATTGGAACCATCTTCGGCATCTACAGGAAGGTAAAATGCTCTACAGCAGGTGTTTGGGGAATCAGAAGAAATGTAAAGATTTAGCCTCTGGTCCCGAGTCACTCCAATGAAGCACCCCGGACAGAGGAGGGACCTTCAAAATGTTCCTGGAAAAGATGTATTGTGAAAGCGCCATCTATGAATTTCAACATTTGTTTTTAACCCAGATAAGTTTCTCTTGAGTTACATTAACCACACACATTTTGAAATACCCCCTTCTGCATCATGAAACCATGAAGCTTGAGTAGATTTGTACTTGATGTCCTGACTGTAAAGATTTGAAAGGCAGAGAGAAAGAGAGATCTATTATCTGTTTATTATTCCATGTTAGGAAGCCTATGGGTAACCATGTAATAATGGCATTCCTGGAAAAATTCATTTACTTTTGTGCCTTTGCCAGGTTGACTAGCTATTGATCACATGGATCCCTGGGCTCTCTCCTTGGTGGAGAACTGGCTGCTGGGGGCCTGGAGTGGGGAGAAGCAATAGAAGCAAGAAGCTAGTCATTATCAGACTAACAGGACAGGTTGCCCTATTGAGAAAGAAAGTTCATTAGTTATATTTGGAGTCAGGAAAAACAGAACGTTGAGCCTGTGTTCAGTCAAGCTTAGTGGTACTGCATTATGTGGCGGATACAAGACAAGCTACGTCCATGAACTCAACTCCACCCATTAACCAACAGAACACCAGGATGGGGGGGGGGGTCAGGAGAGGTTTGTTTTTTTTGTGCATTTTCTTTCACAAACAGTTCTGAAATGTTATGAGTCACCTGTGAATCATGGCCAAAATGCAGATTCCCAAGGCCCACGGCAGAAGGTCTGACTTGGTAAGCTCAGGCCGCAGCCCTGGCACGTGCATTTGAAATAGGGGTTCCAGTGCAGACGTCTTGGGTGTTATAGGAAGAAGTGACCCAGAGGTCACTGGATGACTTTGCTGTGCAGCTTCGTGACATAGCTGTCCCTGCGCTCTGCGGCCGTAGTCTCTGATGATGGAAGGGGTAATGGAACCCAGAGTGAATGCCATCCTCTGGATAAACTCAAGCAGAGCGTTTGAGCTAAAGGATTTGTCGGGGCTGTGTCCCAGCCGGCATTCAGAAAGGATCAGTAAGTGCTGCCTGACTCGGGTTCCTCTCCCTAAGGAGCTCCTGTCCCTTAGTCAGACATGATGAAGAGGGCCGTGCTTTTAATGAAAAAGAAAAACAAAAAAAACAGATTTGAGTGCAAATCAAGTTCTGAGTAGGTATGGTTGGAACTCTTTTTGGTTGAGAGCCTGTATGTATAGATGCACTTTGTCATCTAAAATAGATTCATTTTTTTAATGGACATATAATATTGTACATTCATACCTGTAAATGCTGTATAATGTAGAAGGCAGGGTAAGCACACATCTCCCAAAATCCTCTCTAGCATTTAATTGTGATGTTACATTACATTGCATTCTAAATGTAATGATGTTTAAAAGGCAGAGTAAGATTGAGAATGCGTACAAGTGTGTGTGTGTGTGGGGAGGGAAGGTGTGTGTGTGTGAGAGAGAGAGAGAGAGAGAGAGAGAACTCCTCCATCTGCTGGCTCACTTTTCAAATGCCTGCAGCAGCTGGGACAGGGCCAGACCCCTGACAGGAAACAGGAGCTCCATCTGTCTCCCCCATGGGTGGCAGGGACCCTGTCTCTTGAGGGTGTATTCTTGCAGGAAACTGCAACAGAGAATGGGGCTGGGGCAGAAACTTGGGCACTTTTAGGTGGGGTACAGCTGTTACAAGCACTATCCTAACTACTGTGCCCAGTGCTGGCCCCATCTCCTGGCTTTTTTGAGATATACAATACAGTATCGTTATCTTTACTCACCCAACTGAGGTTATTCCTCTCAATTGCAATCTTACCTTCCTTCTTCCTCTGCTCTTCCTGGTCACCGGGGGACCACACCACTCCTTCACTCTCAACTTCGATGAGACCAACCTGAAGTGTGTTTTGTTCTGTGGGTCATGGTCAAGAAATTAGACAAGAGTCACATGTGCTGTATTTCTGAGAATTTCTTTGAAATGGGAACAATACAGCCTCGCTGCCCCACGGGGGATGCACTGCCATTGGCAAGAACTCACGGCATTGATTTCCTCCCCTGCCCTGCAGCCCAACGTTAATTTGTTTAAATGAAGATGGACTAGGCAGGTTAAAGTCATTGAGACACGCAACAAGATTAGATTAGTGGGGACTGGCAAGAAGGCTTCTCTCTTTTTTTGGAAATGGTAGTGGAGAGACGGGGGACTATCAAATTAGAAAAGATGGGAAGAAGACCTTGATTGGACGGAAGGATCCAGATGCAGGAAATCTGGGGTCTGGTGGGAAGGCTGCCAGGATAATGGAATCAGAGCGGTGCAGACGCATTGGAGGGATGCTGCTGGGAAGGTGCTCTGTCTTACTAACATACCCCTGACAGCGCATGATGCTACTGGTTGAATGGGGAGGAAGAACTATCAAGTCAGCACAACCCAAGCCAAACTCAGTGTATACTATACCCCACTCACCCAATCCAACCCAGCTTAACCATGCTTTGCTTCCTTTTCTCTCTTGTTCCAGAAATCCACTGGTGAGCCTTCTGCAGAGGATGCTCTGCAACCAGGACGGAACCTAGTGGCGGCTGGCTATGCACTCTATGGCAGCGCCACCATGTTGGTCCTTGCCATGGAGAGTGGTGTCAACTGCTTCATGCTGGACCCGGTGAGAGGCTGCACGGAGGCTGGGTGCTTGGCAGGTGGCTTTGAGTGTGTGTGTGTGTGTGTGTGTGTGTGTGTGTGTGTGTGTGTGTGAGGGGCAGGAGGAGAGGGAGGGGGAAGTGAAGCATCTGGAGGGTCAGAGATGAATGGTGATGTAGGGCAAAGGAGAAGGGAGATGACAGGCCATGTGTCTGTCCTGAGAGATGGTGGAGGGGAGAAGCGACAGAGGCGACGGTTGTCTGGAGCAGAATAGGAAGTCTTGGCTCCTAGATAAAATTTTTTTTGAAAGGATGTATTTATTTGATAGGCAAAATAACAGAAAGAGAGAGAGAAAGAGAGAAATCTTCCAACTGCTGGTTCACGCCCCAAAAGGCCACAGAAGCCAGGGCTGGGCCAGGCTGACTCAGGAGCCAGAAACTCCATTTGAGTCTCCTACAAGGGCAGCAAAAACAAAAAACAAAAACAGAACAAAACAGCTGGTATTTGGGCCACCTTCCACTGCATTAACAAGAAGTTAGATAAGAAGAATTCTTTTTCTAAAGATTTATTTTTATTATTTTTTTATTGGAAAGGCGGATATACAGAGAGGAAAGACAGAGAGGAAGATCTTCCGTCTGATGATTCACTCCCCAAGTGAGCGCAACGGCTGATACTATGCCAATCCAAAGCCAGGAGCCTCTTCAGCGTCTCCCACGCGGGTGCAGGGTCCCAAAGCTTTGGGCTGTCCTCGACTGCTTTCCTGGGCCACAGGCAGGGAGCTGGAAGGGAAGTGGGGCTGTCGGGATAGAACCGGCACCCATATGGGATCCTGGGCGTGCAAGGCGAGGACCTTAACCACTTGCGCCACCGCGCCGGGACCGAGATAAGAAGAATTCTTTACAACAACTGCTACTTAGATGATTCAGATGCCTAGTGAGTCCAAGCAGATTGCAGGCGTGTGCTGGGGCAGGGCAGGCCAGGGAGACTGTTGTGGACTAGGTGAAAGTGAGAAATTCAGCAAATGCCACCACTTGTATTAGAAATAGAGGTCCAGTCTGGAAGGCTTCTGCTGATTCCAGAAACACTGCATTTTAAAAAATGTGATGTTTCTAGATGTGTGAAAGATCGCACTAGCTACTAAGACACATTTCTGGGGACTGGGGGTGGTCTGGTTGCCACCCCGACTTACCCAGCCATTCCTGGCCTTTCTGCCTCACTTGCCAACAGTAGGCTTTCCTGGGGTTCATGGGTGTCCCAGTTGCTGAAGCGGCTGCCATTGTTGTTTCAAACACAGCTCCTCAATGTCTTTGGTGCCGTGTGCACCCACAGAAACATCCAGGTGATCCTCATGGTCCTGTTAAAGCTCTGATATCGCCAAGGAAATGACAATACATCAGGGAATAATTTAATCAACTTTACAGAACAGATGTGCCTTGCTAAGAGGAACCCGTGGGGCCATGAACCGTGTTCCTGAGCAGGCATACTTAGCCGGTCGTTTATTCCTCCTGACCACAAATTCGAGTTATTGATTTATTTATTCAGTTACATCCTAATTTCAACAGAAGAGTTAGACTGGGAGAGGGATTGATGTGAGTGTGGCTGCTTGGTCTGGCTGTTCAGGCAACCACTTCCTACATTGGAGTCTTAACTTTAAATCCTGGATCCAGCTTCAGCTCCAGCTCCCTACCAACGCACACCCTGGAAGCAGTCGAGGCTCCCTGTCGCCCACGTGGGAGGCCTGAATTGAGCTTTGTGTTTCTGGCGTATGGCCCACCCTGGATTATTTCAGGCATTTGGGTAGTGAGTCAGTTTATGGCAACTCCATCTGTCTTTCTGTTTTTCAAATATTTTTTTAAATGGCGCAATTAAACCTACCATGACAATGAAACTGCTTGGTGCAATTAAAAACTGATTTCAGAAAGTAATCTTCTACTTGTTGTATGTTTGGTTCAGAATCCCAAAGGGGGAAGTAATTGGATTTATAAACTCCTTTTTGATTTTAGATAGATCTATGAGAATACTTTGGAAAGCTCATGGAAAATAAAACTGGCACATTTACGGTACTGCAAAAGCCTTGCACAAGAGAGATCTTTAAATAGGTGTTGGGAAGTATCTTTTATGGAAAAAAAAGTGCTATGCATGGATATCAAAACTTTTTTTGGCATCAAAATAAATTTATCTTTTGAAGATTTATTTTTTATTATTTTTTCATTGGAAAGGCGGATATACAGAGAGAGGAGAGACAGAGAGGAAGATCTTCCGTCCGATGATTCACTCCCCAAGTGAGCGCAACGGGCCGATACTATGCCAATCCAAAGCCAGGAGCCTCTTCCGGGTCTCCCACGCGGGTGCAGGTTCCCAAAGCTTTGGGCTGTCCTCGACTGCTTTCCCAGGCCACAGGCAGGGAGCTGGAAGGGAAGCGGGGCTGCCGGGATTAGAACCGGCGCCCATATGGGATCCCGGGCGTGCAAGGCGAGGACCTTTAACCACTTGCGCCACCGCGCCGGGCCCATAAATTTATCTTTTGATTCCATGGTGCTCTCTGCTGACAAACTCAACACGGGGACAAACAGTGAGTTGAAGTTGGACTTTGACCTTCTTGGAAGCATGGGTGCTCAGTGAGTAAACAAGAGGAGGCTGTGGCAAGGGAAAAGCAGAGTGAAGTTCAGCCCGAGTGCAGGACCTGAGTTGTGAAATTGCCCAAGTGTGTGGGTTTGCTGGTCTGGCCACACACTGACTGATTCCTTCACAGTCTTCTAGTACTTTCTGTGTTACCTCTGAGTCGTTGGATACTTGAGCAAAGCAATGCAGATCTCTTGGTTCCAGATCGCGGCTGCAAGCATCTGTTTGTTGGATAAGCTGTTTGCAGACTGGTGTGGCATCCTCAGCTCGCCCGCTGCCAGGGGGGACTCTGTGCCTCCTCCTGGCTGGAACTTGCAGAAAGCATAGGTTGCTCCTCACTCCAGTGCCACGCTGGAGCCACTGTCACAGCCATCTCCATATTTGCCATCGGCCTTGTACCTCTGTGTCGCTTCGTGGGACACTTCGTTCCTTTTGCACCCTGGCTGCTCAGGAGGGACACAGGCCTGGGAACATGTCTGGGGAGCATGGCTCTTGGCGTTCTGCCTGCAGCACCTGTAGTGGGCCAGGCTCTCTCTACATGTTTCTGTAAGGGCATTAAGTTTTCTTTTCCGACTTCCAAAAGGATGTTCATGTCCCTTTATAGTCAACATCTTTGGAAGTAAAAAAAGGAAAAACAACCCACACACGAGAAAAGAAGAAAAGTTTCTCACCCCTGCACATTCTAGACTCTCCCCTCCCCTTCTGCCTTTCCTGTGCCTTTCTGGTTTCCAAGCTCCCATGCCTGCAGGAGCCAACAGGGGGTGCTGCCCTTCCTCCCAGCTCGCCTCTCCATGTTGGGTGCTCCTTCCCAAGTGGACCGAGCCTCTGTCACCTTCTTGTCACACAGGAACCTGTGACAACCTTTGGTCCAGAGCGATAGGACCTACAGAGCAATAGGACTCTGGGCCCTCAATCCAGACATCCCTGGGGAGAACCTTAACCCCAAAGGGCCAAGGTCAGTGCCAAGGCTATGTGGTAGGAGGTGTTCTCAGGACAGCATACAAAGGGGGACATTTTCAGAGAGATGCAAGCCTATGGTGGCGGGGTCACCTGTCTCCGCTGTTACTCCAAGTCCAGTATGTGTGTATGTGTGTAACTATGGCTTGGAATACTCACTTCCTATTCACTCTTGTTTACACATTACTGCCATCCCTGTTGGCTTCTTTTGGGTTTCACAGATACTATTTGCAAGCCAGGTCAGGGGTCCCCGCCCCTGTCCCCCATGACTCCCTCAGAATCTTTTTGATCCTCTCACCCTATTTCCTTTTCACTTTCTCTTCCCTCATGCCACCCTCAATGAATGAAGAGTTTGGCAGGAATTCCGGTGTCCCTGGGAGAGGTGGGACCACAGGCCACCTGCCGTGTGACCCCCAGCCAAGCCCCAGTCCATGGCAAGACTTGTCTCCACTGCGTGGGGCTGGTGGGCCATGGCTTGTCACACCCCCTTCTGCTCTTCCTTCCTTTCCAAGGCCATCGGCGAGTTCATCTTGGTGGACAAAAACGTGAAGATCAAAAAGAAAGGGAACATCTACAGCCTCAATGAGGGCTACGCCAAGGACTTCGACCCCGCCGTCTCTGAATACGTCCAGAGAAAGAAATTTCCTCCGGTAAGCTAAATGGGGAGGGGTAGGGCTGGTGTAAGGTCAGGCCTGCAGCATCAGGGACAGTTCTGAGGGCAACGGTGTCCCCTGTGCAGAAAAGTGACCCTTGGGATGGAGAAATATTCTGGACCTCCTTGGAGACCCTGGAATTGTGGAAATCTGCTGACTCTTGGCTCTGTCTGTGCTGCGCCCATCATAGTGGATGGGAATTCAAGCCCCGAGGGGTTAAGGTCAAAGTGCTATTTGTGCCTCTGCTACTTCCCCACAGCAGAAGAAAATCAGGATAACAAACTCATCCTGATGATTGAGTTCATGGCCATAAGGCGTTTTACATACCAGGGCCCAGGGTATCCTGTATGTAAAATATGTATGTAAAATACCATACATGGTGTTTCTCCTTCCCAGGCACCTGCCACGAGGTATTTATTCCTCCAACCCCCCATCACAGACAGGGGGGTTATGTCTGTGTGTCTGTGTCATGTCTGTGTCAGGAGTAATAGAGTGCGCCTGGGTGTCTTCCTGTAGGGGCCACAGTGAGAGACGATAAAGAGAAGGAAAAAGCTGAATGGGGAGCTGGCTCTAGTGGCACCACCCAACTTGGCCACGGCTCTCAGCACAGCCCCCGGGGCCCACGTCACGGGTGCCTGCTAAATGACGGTGGGCTCGCAGGCACCAAGGGGAGATAAAGGACTCTGTTTCTTCATTCTTTGCACTGCTGATCATTGTGGTGTAACTTACCCTGGCAGGATAACACGTCCCCGTACGGTGCACGGTACGTGGGCTCCATGGTGGCAGATGTCCACCGCACCCTGGTCTATGGTGGGATCTTCCTGTACCCAGCCAACAAGAAGAGCCCCAATGGAAAGGTAGGCACCTGCTAGGGACAAGGGACTGCCCAGTGGTCAGCCATGGGGACATATGACTGGGGTGGGAAGGAAGGGTTATGGCAGCTGCTGGTTGCTAAGGCTATCTGTGGCCTCTGCTTATGGAGATTCAAGATAAAGCCACGCCCTACCAACAATACAGAAGAAAGGCATCTGAGAGTGCTTCCCATGGCAAAAGAGAATGGATGGTATTCCAGCCACAAAGGCAAACATAAGGGCGTAGGGTGCCCAGTAGGCCTGTGCTTCAGCGTGGGTGACGTCAGACAGTCAGGTCTCATTGCAAGGCAGCCCATCGGAGCCGTATCCAAGCAGAGGCCTCCTCTGCCTTGTGGAGGCAGAGAATAGAAATCACAGAGGGGCTTGCATTTGCTGCTTGGAAAATGATGCCTTTGAGAGAAGGGAAGAATCACTGGGGAGACCAAGGGCCTTCACATAAGCTGTTGTTCCCCTGGCCCCGGGTGCACTGGGCCCAGAGCCCAGGGCACGGGTTGCCATGGTGGTCTGTGCCTCTTGGCATTCCTGTTGTCTTCTACTCAGGGTCCCAGTGTGCCCTGTGCCCCCTTTGCTTTTCCAGTGGACAGATGCCCCCTCCCTCTAAAAAATAATGGGAAGGAAGAAACAGGGCACTATGTGAAAGGCAGTAAGGTCTGAACATTTTCCCAGCTCTGATCAAGGCATGCAGTGTCCGGTTTGCCAAAGGCATCGTTCTTAACTGGAAACACCACTCCTGGCTGTGGTTACTTCTTGAGTGCCCAGCTATTTTGAATAATCTGCTTCCTAGCAATTTTTTTTCCCCCTCCTGTCTCAAAAAATTGCTTCCGCATGCAAATATCAGAGTTCCTCCCTTTTCATTTTGTCAGTGTGTCAAATCCAGCCCCGACACTTACATGGAAACACAGTTAGGAAACACCTGCACCGGGCTGTGTGCTCCATAGACTGCACAAACACGCACATGAGAAAATACATGCCGAGATGTATTAATGTACTGAATCCCCACCCTGAAGCCTTCGGAGGACTGTAAGAGGAATGCGTAGAGAATTGCAAACAATACTATACTGTTTCGAAGAGCCAGTCTGTTTCCCAGATGTCTGAAGCCAGACACTGCCACGGGTTTTTATTTTCATGCTTTTTGAACGGTCCAAGCTCCATCCCAAATACACACAGACTCACTCATTAAGGCCGGTTTCCCGTGCCGTCGGTTCTGCCAAAACGTCATTCCATCCTGAACCCAGGTGGTCTGTCTCACATTCATGGCAGGTCATCTGCTGCTGGCTCCGGCTGATGAATGGCTTCGTGTAAATAAACGTCTTAGAAGCAACCCAAGGTGGGGAGTGAACTTTTGCAATCTGCTAGAGAAGGAGGCAGAGGTGAATCTGTTACCCCGGAAACGCGCAGCAGTCCGGCGCTGTTTTGAACACCCCCCCCCCACCCCCACCCCCCCCTGGCCCCAACGCCTTCTGGGATGAGAACACTAATTTTGGCTCTTGTTTTCCAGCTGCGGCTGCTTTACGAATGCAACCCTATGGCTTTCGTCATGGAGAAGGCAGGCGGAATGGCTACCACGGGCAAGGAAGCTATCCTGGACATCGTGCCCACTGACATTCATCAGAGGGCACCAGTCATCCTGGGGTCCCCAGATGATGTGAAGGAATTCTTGGAGATCTACAAAAAGCATGCAGTCAAATGAAAAGCCCGCACCGCTCTGGGTATGGAGAATTTACCTCTTATCTGGACCTCCTATTTCACGTGGGTGTTGCACCACACTGGCCCAGCTTCATACATTTCTAGACAGCAGGTGGCAAAAAAAAAAAGCATGGATATTTCCACCCACCAATGTTGAGCCATGTCTAGACATTGCCTAATCAAAATACTCTCTTGATAATGCCACTAGTGGAGAAAAGATCTACTTTGAATAGATGGAGGAAAAATAAACATATTATTCATTTAAAAATATATTGCTTTGTCAAATGATGTCGATGGTATATTAAGGGCAGATATCTAGATATTAGAGAGCTTATTTCATGGTCATACCAGTCTTGTACAACCGATGGTATGGACGCTCTATTTATAGAGAATGCGATGGAGGATTGATGGGTGAAAAAATCTGCCCTCCATACAATGAGGGGCAGAGCTGGGGTGGAACTGAGGCAGTCTGGCTGCTGTGGCTAAGTTTCTGTCGGCAGCACTGGCCTCTCATATGGGCACCAGTTCAAGTCCTGGTTGCTCCACTTTTTATCCAGTTCCCTGCTAATGCACTTGGGACAGCAGCAGATAATGGCCAAGTCCTTGGGTCCCTGTACCCTGGTGGGAGATCCAGAAGAAGCTTCAGGCTCTTGGCTTTAGCCTAACCTGGCTCGAGTCATTGTGGCCATTTAGGGAGCAAACCAGTGGATGGAAGATCTCTGTCACTCCTTCTCCATGTAACTCTGCCTTTCAAACAAAAATAGATAAATAAATAAAAACTTAAAGATATGCCCACAATCAAGGGCAAGTGACACATACAAAACAAAGAGACAAGTGGCAATAGAGCAAAGACTGGAGTGACACAGCCACAGCCTGAGGAGTCCAAGAAGAGGCTAAGAAATGAGCACACTGGAGGCGGAATGTGTGTGTGGCTCCTCTGCCTTCCTTCAGGTCTCCAGCACCGTGAGGACTTGGGGCCACCAGTTTGAACTTGACTCTGTGACTCTTGCTGCTTTCTAATCTTGTCCCCTAATAGTTGACACTTACCTTTTCAGGCAGCAAAGATCTGGCTGAATGAAAGGAGGGAATGCATTGGAAAGGTTTAGGGATGGGAGTTGGGGGTCTTACCAAGCCATCACCCATCGCTTCCTTGGGCTGGGGAACATGAGCCTTTTAGTTTCCAAAGCGTCATCTAAAACACCTGTGTCATTCAATTCTTAGGAACAAAAACCCGATTGGCTCAGTTTAGCCAAGTTGTCTACCTTTCATCCAATCAGCGGCAGCCAGATAGCAGGCTCCTGCTGGTGTCAGTCGCCTCTGAGTTTCCCTCTCGGGAAGAAGGGGACCGTTCCTGCAAGACAGGGCTCACGGGCCCAGCAGCACCCACAGGTGTCTGTCTTCCATGAGATGGGCAGGAATGCCGAAATTCTGTGAACCATGCATGTAGGGATTACAGGAGAAGCCGCTGGGCAGTGTGTTAGCTAGTTCACAAAGAAGGGTCCCTCGGTGAATGTGCCAGAGGCACACTTCAGATCACCGCCTGCAGACGGTGGGCCCTGCCGGCTGGGCACGCCAGCAAGCCGTGGACAGAGGCCTTGCTGTCCTTTTCGCTCAGTCGGCCACCATCTTTGACCACACAGAGCTAGGTCATAAATAGCCGTGCGGTCACGGAATGCATCAGGGGCACAGACAACTGTGCAATGGCTTCCGCCGCAGCTGCTCGTTAAGCTTCCCCTGTGCTGGGCGTCCCGAGAGAACTTTGGCATTTGCTGAAAGGTCAACAGCTGCGATTTCAAGCCATGATGGGTAACTCGAACTTCTAACATTTAACTGTAGCTGCCTGCGCTGATGTCAGCTGGGGCTGGGTGGAGGCCAAACAGCCCTCCCTGGGTTTAGGGTGTATAAATGACACACCCAATAGTTCTTCTTCTGGACTTCCCTATTACTGAGATTTCTGCTTATTATTTTTAAAGAGATCTATTTCTTTATTTGTAAGACACACACACACACAGAGAAAGAGAGGGTCATTTTTCACCCTCTGGTTCACCTCCTCTGTGCTCACAACAGCCAGGGACTGGAGCCAGGGGGCTTCATCTAGGTCAGCTGCATGGGTGGCAGGGGTCTGAGTACCCGAGCCATCATCTACTGCCTTCTAGAACACACCATCAGGAAGCTGGATTGGAAGTGAAGCAGGGGGGACTTGAACCAATACTCTGATGATACAGGGAGCTGGCGTCGCAACAACCTGCTGTGCCACAATGTGGGAGCCAAGCCTGACGTGCCCCTCCTGCCCCCGCCCAGTGCTCTACAGCTTGCTGCCCCTCTCACAGGCTGCGCGGAAGCCCTGGTTGATCGGTTGGCTTGTCTGCTCATCAAACTGTAGAAAACAGATCCACCTACGCAACACAGAAGAATAACTGGATGGTGATAAACTCACAAAAAGATGCTCAGTGTTACCAGGCGTTGGGGAAGTGCAAATGCTGCTGGGAGTGTAGAGGTACCAGGACCTGTGTGCCTTGCCGGAGGGCAACCGAGGGGTGCAGCTGCATGTGGAAAATGGCATGGCAGCAGCACCGGGTCCTCTGGAAATCCATTAGAAGTGCCTTGGGATCCTGCAACCCCACTTCTGAGCATGCGCCCCCAAGGACTGCAAGAAGGGATTGGACAATGTTATTTGCAAGAGCCCAGAGTGGAAGCAGCCCACATGGCTGTTGACAAAGGCTTCGGTCAGTGACATGTGGCATGGGCATGCCATGGAACATTACCCAGCTTATAAAAGAAGAAAGTCTTTTTTTTTTAAAAAAATTAAAGGCAGACTTACAGAGAGAAAGAGAGATCTTCTATTAGCTGCTTTGCTCCCCCAAATGGCCCCAGTGGCTGAAGCTGAGCTGACCTGAAGCCAGGAGCTTCCTCCAGATCTCCCACATGGGTGCAGGGTCCCAAGAACTTGGGCCAGCCTCCTCTGTTTCCTGCAGCCATAAGCAGAAGGATGGATCAGAAAGGGGAGCAGCCAGGACACAAACCGGTGCCCACATGGGATGCTGTCACTTACAGGTGTGGGATTAGCTCATTGAGCCACCATGCTTGTCCCAGGAAAGAAGTTCTGACATCTGCTCCCTTGAGGACAGTCTGCTAACACAAAAGGATGAAAGTTGCTTGATTCCTCTCCTCTGAAGACCTAGAGCAGTCAAGCTCATAGAGACAGGAAGTGGAATGGTTTCTGCCGGGGCAGAGGTGGGGTTGTGAAGGAATGGAGGGTTTGTGCTCAATGAATTTGGGGTTCTGGCTTGGAAAGTACAAAAACAGTCTGAAAATGAATAATGAAGATGGTTGCATAAAAAATATGAGTACCATTGATCATACCATTAAACTGTACACTTAAATATAGCTAAAATGGGAGGAGAGATACAGGGTGTTCAAGGCAATGCCTAAATGCTGGCAAACTATTGAAGCACCAGTATGAGACCCAGTCGCTCCACTTCTGATCCAGCTGCCTGCCAGGGTGCCCAGGTAAGCAGTGAAAAATGGTACCAGTGCATGGATCCCTGCCATCTGCATGGGAGACCCCAATGGAGCGCCTGGCTTTGACTTAGTCCATCCCAACTGGAGAGTGAACAAACAGATGGAAGATTTCTCTTTCTTTCTTTCTCTCCCTGTCTCTCTCTCTCTGTAACTGCCTTTTAAATTAATAGAGTCTTTTGAAAATGGCTAAAATGGTAAAAAAAAAAAAAACATAAAATATAAGCCCTAATTGCTTAATGCTAGGCCATAATTTTATTTAATTTTCATTTTATTATTACACTTGAATTATGTTTTAATAAAGGTAACCAGAAGAAACAAAGGAAAATTGCTATAAGACGTTGGGAGTATTTCCAGACCATCTACTTGTTTCTTCACGGTGGTCTGCACACTGTCCACACCTTGTTCTGTACTTCGTTTTACAATAAAATTGGCTTTCAAAATAAAACCCACAGCTCTACACATTTTAACACAAAGAACACATTCAAGTAAATACAAACCTTAGCCAGGACACAGAGCTGTGCTGTCATACAAAAAACTTCTTCTTCTTTCCACACCCCGAGCCCTGGCAATCAGTGAGACACAGGGGGGCAGGGGGCCGGGCAGACAGTATATAATCTTTCAAGACTGGCTTCTTCCACGCAGCATCGTGCTTCGTGGTTGCTAAGAACTGCGATGTTTTAATGCCATTTGGCTCCTGAAGGCGTACATGAAGTCAAATCCCGAAAATCCTACGTTAAGAGGGTAGAAATATGGCGGCTGGATTGGGGTCTTGGAAGGTGATTGGATTAGATGAGATCCGGCATGCAGTCCGCATCACGGTTACCGGTGGCTTTGTCAGAAGAGAAAGAGAGAGAAGAGAGAGATAAAGACACAGGTGCTTCCTGGCTCCTGCTGTGTGAGTGTCCCAAGCCACTGCCAAGGCTGTGACAGCAGAAACGCCATCACCACGAGCCTGACCCGCAGCGCCTGCCTTGTCTTACACTCATTCTTAGAACGGTGAGCCGCAACCAACCTCTGTCTCGGTGAAAGCAGGATGCCTCTGGCTTATCACTGCGGCAGCTCAGAAGTGATGACTACATGGCTGTTCTTTTTATGGCCCTATCACAGCTCGTTTGTCCGCTCATTGATGAGGCGCATGTGGGTTCCTGACTCCCCAGGAAACAGAGCTGGTGTAAACATTTACGCTTGGGTCCTCGTGCGAACATGTATATTCCTTCCCCTAGAGTAGCTGAGAGGTCCCCCTCTCGGGGTCATGGTGTATATCAACAGGTGGAAACCCCCCTAATCCGCTGAGTCTTAAAAAGAAGTCAGAAGCTGTAGCAATCATTTCCTGACACACTCACTATGAGCATAGTTCTTGCAACGATTTTCCTGGAAGAACAAATGTTTCCAAAATAATTTGCATATCCATACCCTGGGATGCAGCCAGGATCTATGGCCCAACCTGGGTATATATTTCCAGGATGGCACGCCATGGTGGGTGGGCACGGCAGGTTGGCTCGTCTGTCACCAGTGCCCAGTCTTCCAGCATCGGGGAGGGCACCGCCTGATGCCAGCCACACTCATGCACAGGTTACCGGAGGTGAGGGGAAGGGTATAAGGTTTGTACCCATACTGGTGAGTGGGGAAACGGAAGGAACTTCCTCAAGTCATGTGACTAGCAGATTGCTCTTCAAAACAGCCCTGGAACCTTGTCACAGACCCCGCCAGTGTCTGCCACAGCACACAGTCCACCAGCTGGACCGGCC